TTTTTTTATGTTTCATGGAAATAAGCTTAACAAATCAAATGTTATACTATTAGCACTTTATTTTAAAAATGTAGATTTCAAAAAGTAATTAACTCCCTCTTTATTTTAAGATATTTTTCTTAATTGATAGTTTAGTTTCTAAAATATATTTGTATTTATTAAAAAATAAAGTAAGGTATTTCTTTAATTGGCTGTCTTTATAGCCGGTTATCTTTCAGTTTATTTTTTAATAATAAAATACCACCAATAAAAAATTATACTTATTACAAACTATTAAGAACCATTTTAACTGAAATATAATATCTTTTAATATGATACACAGAATAACATTTAGGTGTGGGTAGATCAAGAATGGGGAAGATTAAATTTTCTTTTATCAAAAAGAAAATACTTTCTATAAAAGTAATGTCCAAATCTAAATAATTTGCATGGATCTCATTATTACTTCTTTGTATTGTAAGTTCTGTTGGATATGTTAAGTCTGGTGTAAAATTCATATTATTTATAGATATTAAATCATCTATATAACAGAAAATGTAGATGTACAAGTCAGGATTTAAAGTATGCTTCATAAATGAGTTTTCATAAAAGAACAGTTACAGTTGGCCATATTCAAAGAGAAGTTCATTCCCATTGGAATACCCACCATTTGCTTATATATATCTGTTCATTAAAAACAATATAACTTATAAATACAGGTTAATAAATAAGGTTATATATATATATAAAAAACTGGGCTTTACAAAGTGACCTGTATTGGCCGTGTTTTAGTGACCTAGTATTTTATAAAATACAGTTACAATTCATTTATAATGCATTATATAAGTACGTGCTATAAGTATAAGTACTATTTACAAATAAGTTCTTAAACTTATTTTTCTTAAAACATAGAACAGTAAATAAAGAAGTATAGCAAATAATTATATCTTATAGTTACGAATTTTGCACTCACTTGCTGCAAGTTGCTAAGCCTTATCAAATTTCACACATAGAGGATGTGAAACGAAAGAATTTTTAGATTTTATATATACATTTGAAATAACCAAAAATCATAAGTTATTATATAGATACCATAAAATTCCACTAATTTATCAAGCTTAGTAACCAAGCTGTATTTGGGTCTATATACAAATAAATAAACAAAAAAAAGACATTTCAAGCTCACTAATGTCTTAACGCTTAAAATCTAGCATGAAAAGAAAGAGTTTGCCATCCAAATATTTCAAAAGAGGCTGAGAAAGCTACTAGGGGGAATATTCTGAGCTTTTGATTGGTTATACACACATCATTGGGCAAAGTAGGTGTACGCGAGCAAGTATTTTAAAAAATTGAAGAGGTGGGCGAGGTCACATTTGTTGATTCAATAAATATATTAATATATCAATATTAATAATGCTGCATTCAACATGCCACATGACACACACACACACACACACTAGAAAAAAAAAAAAAAAGATTTATAAATATATATTTATATTAAGAAAATATCTAATGTATAATACTAAAATTTAAATTATAATCTACAATTTGATACCAAACTCATTGATATACTTTTATAGAATAGGAGTTCAATAAAGTTTTGAATGAAAGTAAACAAACATGATAAAATGGCCTTTGACCCATATTGATGGGGTTAAATAAACTTACCTTCTCCTTGTAGTTCAAAACCCCACATGTGTTTCCCAGTTCGACCAAAACCTGTTTGAACTTCATCAGCAATACAAACACCACCACCATCTCTCACATACCTGTAGTTATACACAAGAAAAACAATTCATCCAACAGCCATACACACCTGTAGTATTCTTAAATAAAGAAGCACACACAGAGATAAGTAACAACTTCAATAATTAAAAGAATAAAAAGTGTCTGCACTTGTGAAACAAAGTTAAAAAATTAAGTAGAATCAAACAGGGCAATGACCTGTAATAAAAACTATAAATGCAATCAACCTGTAAAGTGTCACCATCACTAATGACACCAAACTTCAAAGTCAAATGATGATATAAAATATGTCCAACATTATGCTTCTGATGGTAATGTGTATGATTGTAACTTAAGTGTCACAAAGGCCACACATGGCAGATCAGCCCCTTGTAAAAGAAATTGATGTGTAAGGAAACTATGGGTAATGCATAACCTTGTTAAGACAACTTCCCTTTTCTGGTTCCTACAAAATCTAGGCGACCAGAAAAAGAACAGAGGGCTTTACTGGTAAACCTTATGTTGCACACCCAAAATTGACTGCAAACTAATGTGAAGCCTTGCCTTGATGACTGGCCTGAATTCCACATAAGGGACAGGTAGGGCTGTGGCACTGCAGGAACAGTTAGATTTTGCTACAGTGTCAACAAGCTTGTTCTCATAAATACCAATATGGCCAGGAATGATAATTATAATAATAATAAAAAAACTGAAAGAGTGACTGTACCATAATTATGATTATGAACTTAACATTTGTCCAATCATTATACACATTCTTTCAGCAGAAATTAGCAACATACTTGTAGGTGTTCCTCAGGTAGTTTGGTGGAAGTAGGAGCTGGCCTCCACAACTAATAATAGATTCTACTATGAAAGCACCAATGTTTCTTCCATTGTTATGGGCTTCATTGATCAATTTTTTAACTTCATTAGAATACAATTCTCCAAGTTCTTCTTGAGAATATTCTGTGCTTGTGTACTTTCCTCTGTAACCACATGGTAGAGGAGCCTAAAAATAAAACTTGGTAAATTACTTAAAAAAAAAGTTTTTAAAATATTTTCTAAAACTATTGATTTGTACAAATTGCTTTAAAAATCATATAAACTTTGAATAATTTGTAACTTAAGATAATCTAAGGCATAATTTTAGTATATATATACTTTGTCAATTAAAAAGGAAAATTTAACGTTTTTATATCATGCATTGTTTATACTTTGAATACCATGAAATTTGGATACTTAACCAATAAAAATTTAGTTCTTGCAAAATGAAAAGTATTTGACTTACAACATGCACCCAGTCTTTTTTCTTGCCATCGTTTATCTTCGTGAATTTGTAAGGGCTCAAGTCAGTAGTAGAGGTTAGATGACCATGATAAGCCCTGATCATAAATTAGTCAAGAAAGTATACACTTTTAGAACAAAAGTCTCACAAAAACAAATTTAAATTAACATGCACACACACACACAATTAAGAATTTACTTCAAATACTAAATTGCATAATATAATCACTCTTTTTACAGACTCTCGCAACTGCAAGATTAATTTCATGTTTTGATGCAAAATAAAAAATAAAAACAATTGCATGAACATTTTGTCCAAGATAAGCTCCATAATATAGCACACTTTTGATTTTTTGCCATTATATGCAACACTAGAAAATATGGATTTATGTACTACTTCTGAAAAAAGTTTTTTTTTTCTCTTGTAAATGCCTTCATTTTTTGTGCATTCATCATTTACCAGGTTATCATTATAATCATCATCATTCATAAATTTTAAAATAATACTTACGCATCTAGGACAATGACATCTTCTTTCTTGGTATGAGCTCTTGCTAAACGTAGAGCTAGATCATTAGCTTCCGATCTTTATAAGAAAGAAACATTCAGTTAGTTAAAATACATAGGTGTTCAACTAGAATTTTTTTTTCTAAATTTCTAGATTTTACATCTATTCACTTTTTCTATTAAGTGCACAAAGATTTAGTAGTCTACATGAAACGAAAATGCATTGAGATGCTTTAAATATTACCATAAGTATTTTTTATATTGAGGAGATGTGGGTGCTGTAGCCCACAATGTCCCACATCTTTACCACCTTTCACTGTCTGCAGCAAGATGTGGGAAAGTGGCAGCAAGAAATAATGTAGAACGTTTCGACAAGGTTTTGTCATCACCTGATGATGACAAAACCTTG